GGGTGCACATAAATGGGTGTGTTCATCAGGCTCTGTTCCTTACTGTGACATATATTAAAATGTGTACAGTCTATCAGGCTCTGTCCCTTACTGTGACATATATTAAAGTGTGTACAGTCTATCAGGCTCTGTCCCTTACTGTGACATATATTAAAGTGTGTACAGTCTATCAGGCTCTGTCCCTTACTGTGACATATATTAAAGTGTGTACAGTCTATCAGGCTCTGTCCCTTACTGTGACATATATTAAAGTGTGTACAGTCTATCAGGCTCTGTTCCTTACTGTGACATATATTAAAATGTGTACAGTCTATCAGGCTCTGTTTCTTACTGTGACATATATTAAAATGTGTACAGTCTATCAGGCTCTGTTTCTTACTTTAAAATATACACAAATAAGCCACAACATTATGACCACTCACAGATGAAGCAAATAATGTTGGTGATCTCATAAAAATGGTATATATCAAGGTCTGGGATATATTTTGGGTTGCAAACAGTCAGTTCTTGTAGTCAAGATGTTTGATGTGGGATTATTTGGCAGGTGTAAAGACCTAAGCAACTTTAATAAGGGCCAAATCGTTATGGCCAGAGGACTGAGTCGGAGCATCTCTGAAACAGAAAGGCTTGTGGGGTACTTTGTCTACCAGTGGTGTTCTGAGGAGGGACAAACCATGAACCCACAACAGGCTATAGGGTGCTCAAGGCTCATCGATGCATGAGGGCAACGAAGGCCATCCTGTCTGGTCCAAACCGACAGTACTGCAGCACAAGTCACAGAAATTTTTACTGATGATTATGTGAGGAATGTGGCACCCTCTTGCATATGAGGCTGCATAGCCGGATCAGTTAGAGTGCCCATGCTAAGTGGCCACAACTGGCATGCGGGCATCCACACTCGACCAATAGCAATAGAAGTAGGTCGCCTGGTCCAGTGAGTCCCATTTTCTTTTACATTGCATGGTACATGTGCACCATTTACCTAGGGAAGAGATGGCACCAGGATGCACTGTGGGAAGAAGACAAGTCAGAGGAGAGTGTGTGACACCTACTGCTGAGAAACCCTGGGTCCGGGTATTAGGGGTGGGGGGAAAAACGATTCTTAGATGCATCGTGATTCGGATGTGCACGATGCTGAATCGATTCACAAATGTCAAAAATCGATTTTCTAAATTTGAATTGATAACGTGACGTTGATGGAACACAAAAGGTGGAACTTTGCAAAGTGCGGTAGTGCAGCGCCCGGACAGCCTGTGGCGGCACACTACATTAAAGCTAGTGCAGGGTTCACAACTTAAATGTTAATAAGAGTCATTTTGTCCTTTCAGCAAAAATCAAACCACCTTGGGAGCCACAACATTTTGAGTCCGTTTTACCCTCTTGGCTGTACGTATGTCTCAGCACGTCTCAGCATGCTAATGTACTAGTATAGGCTAAAAATATAATACAAACAAAAACGCAGACTTTCTTTGCTCTGCTTTAAGCTTTAGCTCAGCTATAGCTGATTTTCTCGCATCTCCAGCAGGAAACTTTTCTCAAATGTTCTACGAGGCTGAAGTCAGTTTCTCATTCGACAGCTTCTTGTTCGAATTTTCCCGTTCCACCTTAAATGGTGCCTCAGGTGCCAGAATGTAACTGCTGCACCATTTAAGGTGGAACGAGAAAATTCAAACAAGAACCTGTTGAATGAGAAGCTGATTTCAGCTTCACGACTTTTTTTGACAGTTTCTCGTTGCAGATTAAACGTATCAGGAAACCAGCTGGAGTGATTTATAAACATCTGTTCGTCTCCAAATTAGCGATGTTTGTCTTAAATCTTTCTCTTGCCTCCTCGTTTGCTACTAGCTAGGTGAACTAGCAGTTGCAGGCTACAGTAACTCCAGCGTTTAAGACCATTTAGTGTTAAAACTGTGTTAAACGATCAGCAGAGCTTTATTTCACTGTAAAGGAGGATTATTTTATTTTTACCTAAAAATCTAATTCTGCTGTGGAGCCGCATATTGGCCTTACCATATTACATGTTGCGATCACCCCCCCACAACTCTCTACAACGAGACCAAAACCAAAGTTATGGAATCACTGAAGAAAACAGGTAGGATAACTGTAACTGCGCATTTTATCACAGATGAGTGGCAGCCAGTGTCTCATGTGCTCCAAACAAGAGCAGTGAATGAAAGCCTTCCATTTGTTTTATTAATAAAACAAAAAAAGAGGAACAAAAATTCCTGTAGATGCATCGATAATCGTTTTATAATCGCACCGCAGCTTCTGAATCGTAATCAAATCGAATCATGAGATTCCCACCCCTACTGGGTATTCACGTGGACCTCAATTTGACACATACCACGTACCTAAACAGACAGTAGACACCCCTTCGTGGCAGTGGCCTCTTTTGGCAGGATAATGCATTGCACACATTGTGTTTTCAAGGTGTTTCCCTGGCCTCCAAGTTCCCCAGATCACAGTCTGATCATCTGTGGGATGTTGTGGAACAAGAAGTCTGATCCGCTGCGTCTCCACCTCACAACTTAAGAGATGTAAAGAATCTGCTGCTAAAGTCTTGGTGGCAGATACCACAGAGCACCTTCAGAGATTTTGTAGAGTCCATGTCTCAGCGGGTCAGAGCTGTTTTGGCAGACCAACAGCGTGTTCAGCATTAGGTGGTCATAATGTTTTGGCACAACAGTGTGTTTAAATATACAAGATATTTAAAAAAGTCTTCCTTTTTTATTTGTTTTTATAAAATATTATACTACTGTTATTAATTAGTTGCGCCCATTCATTTATGTTGTTTCATTAAGTGTCAAAATAAATTAATTATTATAGCACTGGATTACTAAACAATAGTGACAATCAGAAATATGCAGATCACTAAGAGGCTGTAGTATGACAGAAAGAGATTCTTGGTGCTTAATGTTTCTTTAATGTTTCTTTTCTTAGCAGGTGTAGATTTAAAATGTCAGACTTTTCATGAGGGAGTGTGAGAGAAAATGTGTGTGTATGAGAGAGAGAGATAGAGACTTCCTCTGAGACACATTTGGGTTATAATGGCTGAGGCCAGGCCTCAGGAGGGCATGCTGGAGTGTTTTAATAGCTCCCTAACTACCGCAAGTGTTAAAAGAGGACACACAACCAAACACACATTAGGGCGGCACAATACAGACAGATTAAATGTGTTGTGGTTATATTGATGTTAGATATGAAATCTGGTGTCAGATAACTACCGTATAAAATCCTGATAACTGATCTTGGCAGATATAATGTTATATTTATATAATATACAATATAGGAAACCATGTTTTACTGACAACAGATATGATTCAGGTCTCAACCGTCAGCACATTACTTACACTTCGGATTGGCAGATAACAGCCGTTTGAAATGGGATGATGAAAAATCTGATGGGCACAATATTTAACTTACTCCAAATGTAGTCAGTTAGCTGAGACGTTTAATGTCCAAATTTTGCTTCTTTAGTTTTAAACTGGAGCTATGAGACTAACTTTGATAATAAACGCAAAGTCAGTAGTCGCCCAAATCTTTTCCATAAATACATCCTCACAACTGCCCTCAACCCATTCAAGACGCATCTAGGTCTTCATTAAGGGTGCACAGACTAGGCAGTGTGGTTTAGGACACAGTCTGACTTTCTGTGAGCTATAAAAATGAACAAAACTTCACTGTGTAGCTGAACGCTGCGAACGCTAACGAAGTGACCTGTCATGCCTATGAGGTAATAGTGTACAAAGGGACACCCAGTGACCATTCTGTGCTATGACATGACTACAGATGTAGTCTACTCATCTCTATTAGCTTAATGAACAGCTGTCAGTGTGTTACTACGGGTGTGTGTGTGTGTGTGTGTGTGAGTGTACACATCCCACGTGGGGCTCTGTGAGTAAGTCTAGAGAGCTTAGCAACCCCTGTGGTGAGGGCGGGGAAAGTAACAGCCTTCCCATGAGTTCCACCTGCAGCCCAATCTAGCACTTGTTTTCTGGGGAGATGGCTGCGACTACCAGGCACAAGAAAGCAGGTGAGATCCCCTCACAGGCTTACTGGAATGGGGCTATGATGGCAGATGTGAGCGCCTGTTGACAATGGGTGATCAAGAGTTTGTTTTGAATGCATGTGGAAGTGCTAGTGGTGAATGACAGCTGCCAAACTCATGCAAACAGATTAGATGTTTGTAAACTTGTGTTTTCTGTGATTTCTGTCTAACCTGTAATATGTAAATGCAGCTTGTGTGCACCTTTCTCTCTTTATTACAGTTAAATTCAGAATCCAGTTTGTTAAACTTTATTAGCTTGCCAAATAGCGCAGCTTATGCATTGCCAAAACTCGGGTTATGCGTAATGGGAATATTAAAGAATATTACAAGAGTAGTTGCTTTAAAACTGCACAAATGACGTGGTGTTCTATATATATATAAAAAACATGCTCGACTTTTAATGTAAGTCAATGGAACCAGATGTATTTTCAAGCAATTTTCAGACATTTCTTTTGATTTCATTGATCATGAAATTTACAGACAATGTAAAGGTCAACAGGCACTGTCAAATTTTGTCAAAAACATATATATATATATATATATATGCTCATAATCTGGCATGACATGGTCCTCAGATGGTGGCAGGGGAGGACATAATGTCCTGCCAGTGTTCAGCACTCCTTGTATTCTCTTGATACATATGTTCAGCAGCCTGTCTATTAAGTGGTAAATTTAGGACATTTTTGGCTAAATTTTGCTTGTGATTTTCCATAGAATTTTTGTGCATTTTGTGTAAGTCTGATTCTGTTTAGCTCATCATGACTCTTTGGGTCTGAGATGTTGTTGATTCTGGCTAATTTTGAAAGAGAATTATGAAAAAAAAATTAGCAAATTTTGTTAATTCTTCTCAAACGTGCAGATCTGTTGTGTTTGCCAGTCAGTGTTAACTCTCTCTCTCTCTCTCTCTCTCTCTCTCTCTCTCTCTCTCTCTCTCTCTCTCTCTCTATTTCAGTCGATGCTGATGAGATTAAGAGACTAGGGAAGAGGTTTAAGAAACTCGACCTAGATAACTCTGGTTCTCTCAGCGTGGAGGAGTTCATGTCCTTGCCTGAGCTCCAGCAGAACCCGCTGGTTCAACGAGTCATTGACATATTTGACACAGATGGCAATGGTGAAGTGGACTTCAAAGGTGGGTTTCAGTAGGGTTAAGAATATTCGCACCCATATCCAATGTACTCTTTATTATGCATGAGTTAGTCTCTTATTAGTCTTTATTGAACTGATAAGCAGCCTGTGAACATCTTCTGTTATTATACTTACCCATGTTTGGAGTCTTTACCTGAACAGGTGTGAATCTCATCTGCTTTCTTTCTTTCTGCAGAGTTTATTGAGGGAGTCTCTCAGTTCAGTGTCAAAGGAGACAAGGAGCAGAAATTACGCTGTGAGTGAAAAGCTTTATGACCACATCCTCACACTCGCTATTATGATATATGTGCCATTATGAAATCATTATTTGTCCTAAGGTTATTCGTCACTTTTGTGTTGTTCACAACAATGCAACTGAAGTGCCAAATTGTTATGAACAGGCTGTTCACAAGACTATATTTAGTTGCCATAAATAAAAAATGTAATTCTGTAAGTCTGTGAAATAATAATTGCAGTAGAAGTAGCTTGAATAGACATAGAAGAGTAGCAGGTCAAAAGCTACTCAAGTACTGCGTGACTATAGAACTGCAGTGGAACCTCTTAGTACATCCAGCATCTGTCAGCATAGAAACATTTAGGCTCTGGTCTTCTTTAAATGAGTTTCTTTACAAATACATTTGTGTACTGCCATTGGAAAGTACAAAGTCATTTAAATTTTTAATTAAAAACATGAAACTGAGTAGTACTCACCTTCGTGCATGAAACCTTGGCTCCAATTTCAAGGTGGCTCCTTTTTCTCAGGACTCCCTTGACGAGGAGTCCCCTGTACAGAACACTGCTGCAGGGTAAAAAGAATATAATAATGACTTAAGTATTTCATGAAGTATTACATGAAGTAATAATCAGTCATTTGTCAAATGCAATCACAACAGCTGGACCCCTCCAACGTTTTCTTGATGTTTTATGGCATTTTTGCTATAAGAACATTTAGGTAACTAGTAAAAATTTAAAATAGAAAAAAAGTGCACTACATACACCGATCAGGCATAACATTATGACCACCTCCTTGTTTCTAGGTTCATTGTCCATTTTATCAGCTCCACTTACTATATAGGTGCACTTTGTAGTTCTACAATTACAGACTGTAGTCCATCTGTTTCTCTGCATACTTTGTTAGCCCCCTTTTACCCTGTTCTTAAACACCTCAGTGTCACTGCTGGACTGAGAATAGTCCATTAACCAAAAATATCCAGCCAACAGCGTCCTGTGACCACTGATGAAGGACTAGAGGATGATTAGCTCATACTGAACAGCAAGAGATGAGCTATTGTCTCTGGCTTTACATCTACAAGGTGGACCAACAACGCAGGTGCATTTAATAGAGTGGACAGTGAGTGGACACAGTGTTTAAAAACTCCAGCAGCACTGCTGTGTCTGATCCACTCGTACCAGCGCAACACACACTAACCCACCACAACCACGTCAGTGTTACTGCAGTGCTGAGAATGATCCACCCCCCAAATAGTACCTGCTCTGTGAGGGTCCATGGGGGTCCTGACCACTGAAGAGCAGGGTAAAAGGGGGCTAACAAAATATGCAGAGAAACAGATGGACTACAGTCTGTAACTGTAGAACTACAAAGGGCACCTATATAGTAAGTGGAGCTGATAAAATGGACAATGAGCGTAGAAACAAGGAGGTGGTCATAATGTTATGCCTGATCGGTGGATAATATTAAAAGAGTTATAGTCTTTAATGAATTGTTAGTGTTAAGTAAGCATTACAGGTATATTTCACCCAGAAATTCTGGGATCATTTGGTAAAAGGGGCTCATTAGTATGATCTTAGTTGATTAATGCTAACTGGCTTCAGCATTTTCCGTTTATTAATAACAACTTTAATATACAACAGGGACATAAACCTAATAAACCTAAGGTCAGGTTTCCGTTTATTAAATGGCTGAGTACTGGTTAGGAAGTGGAACCCAAACGACCACATTCTGCATATCTTTGTGTTGCATCGTTCGTGCTTACGTCGTTCTTTCTCTCATTCGTTCATATTTCCCTTTTATTCATCCTTGTTCTTTGTCTACAGTCGCATTCCGGATTTACGACATGGATAAGGACGGCTACATATCGAATGGTGAGCTCTTCCAGGTGCTGAAGATGATGGTGGGCAACAACTTAAAGGACACGCAGCTTCAGCAGATCGTTGACAAGACCATCATCAATGCCGACAAGGATGGAGATGGCAGGATATCCTTTGAGGAGTTCTGTGCGGTGAGTGAGGAGTCTCCAAGGTCAAGGCTGTTTTGCTCTACAACAGTGTTCTCTGGTCCCGAAGGCCGTTTCACAAAGCAGAGATTTCAGTTAGTCATACGAACTAAGCCAAAAATTAAGTCTGTACAATAGGAGAACAGCTAAGGGAGGTTCATACTGGAAAGTTACAAATGGATTTTTCCCCTTTACCCCAAATGTAGTCTGTCAGCCAAGATGTGTTTAGTATCTGACGTTTGCTTCTTTAGTTTTGCACTGGAGCTACAAGACTAATGTGGCTAACAAGTTATGGAAGCTTGCAGCCACCACATTAGCGTTGTGCTAATTAAATAGCTTGCTAAACAATCTCAACTAGGTTTGTGGTTTCTGACACACTGTATCTATATAAATGGACAAAAGTTTTGTTTTTAGCTGTCTGATGTACCTTTTAGGAATGTGCAATTTTCATATTCAAGTATCCAGAAGAGTTAATGAATAGATATCTAGGCAACCGCAGGGAAGAAATAAAACCAACAACAAAAGAGAAAAAAAGGACTTTGGCCAAAATCAGCAAAGGGCTTCTGACTTACTTTTTAGATGATAACACTGGAATTTAAAAATAAAAAACGTTATATTATTTAATAATAGCCCAGAGAAATCAGTAGGTTTTTATCTTGGATGAGTAAAGGAAGGTGTCTATTCAGAACGAACTGATGAGCTAACATTACAACAGTGGATGTTTGGATGCTAATGGAGATTTCCCATCTTGCACATGAAGTATTTTCTCCTCAGTGGACGGTGTCAACATATTCCATATACACTCACCGAGCACTTTATTAGGAACACCTGTTCACCTGCTGGTAAAAGAATAATGATCTCGGTGATCTTGACCGCGGCGTGATTGTTGGTGCCAGGCGACACACAGACAGCACTGACTCCCTGGGATTTTTCATGCACAGCAGTCTCTAGAATTTACCCAGAATTGTGCTGTAAAGAAAAAACATCCTGTGAGCAGCAGCTCTGCGGATTTTTGCTAAGAAAGGTAAACAGAGAATGGCCAGTCTGGTTTGAGTTGGCAGGAAGTCTACGGTAAACTATAATCACTCTACAATTGTAGTGGGCAGAAAAGCATCTCAGAATACAGAACACATTGAACCTTATAGTGGATGGGCTACAACAGCAGAAGACCACAGTGGGTTCTCCAATTCTGTCAGCCAAGAACAGAAAGCTGAGACTGCAGTTGGGTCAGGCTCACCAAAACTGGACAGTTGAAGACTGGAAAAATGTAGCCTGTCTGATAAATCTTGATTTCTGCTGAGGCACAAAGATGATAGGGTCAAAATTGGGCACCAGCAGCATGAAACCTCGGACCCAACCTGCCTTGTGTCAACAGTCCAGGCTGGTGGAGTTGGTGTAATGACATGGGGAATGTTTTCTTGGCACACTGTGGGCCTGTTAGTACCAATCAATCATTCCTTGGATGCCACAGCCTGTTTAAATGTTGTTGCCGACCATGTGTATCCCTACACGACCCATGGCTCATTTTCTAATGGCTACTTCCAACATGACGATACACCATGTCACAAAGCAAAAGTCATCTCAAACTGGTTACTTCAACCTGACAGTGAGTTCAGTGTTCATCGGTGACGTTCCCTGTCACCAGATCTGAATCCAGTAGAACATCTTTGGGAAGTGGTAGAACGGGATATTCACAGCATGAAAAGTGCACCTGAAAAATCTGCAGGAATTGCCTGATGCAGTCATATCAACATGGACCAGAATCTCAAAAGCATGTTTCCAACATCTTGTGGAATCCATGGCACGAAGTACTTTGCCTAGGATGCGTTGTTAAGGATGTAGCTGAGAAGGCAGGGCTAACTCCTCTGACTGATGTTAGCTGGGTCCAGGAACCATACGAAAAAGACCCCTGCTAGAGCATCAATTAGTTGGGATAATAGTATGGTATCTTGGGATAACAGTGTAGGGTTTTTACAGTATCATTTCACTGAGCACTGGCTACCAAGTAATAACTCACTTTATGCTGCACTTTAGCTTTTCTACTTTAGCGCATACAGAAGCAGTACAAGAATGCGTTAGATGACTTCTATAAGGTATTTGGCCTGCGGTCCATTCGGTAAGATTCAAAAGAAGTATGACAGCTGGACTACATCAAATTCTAATCCTGTTGTTGCCTCTAATCAAGCTTTTCAGTCAGCAGCTGTGATGTAACAACTAAACAAACTGGAATTAGCCAGAAACAAACAGAGTATAAGCGGCAAACAAGATGGGCTCTAAAGTGCTTTACAGACTGACTGGAACAAAACAAAGTTCAGGTTAATCTGGCAAGTATTAAAAAAAAGCTGAAGCTATTATTGTGATATTGTCACTTTCATTCTATCTGTCTGTCTCTCTGTCTGTCTATGAAATCGGCCTACTAGTGTTGCACTAATGTCATTGTCCTCTGTGTCTTTCAGGTGGTCGGTGGATTAGACATTCACAAAAAGATGGTCGTGGATGTGTGAATGGACAGACGGCCCCTTCACCAAACACCTCTCTGCCTCTCTCTCTCTCTCTCTCTCTTTCTCTCTCTCTCCTTTCTAGCTCTCTGTTCCTCTCTTTCTCTTCTCTTCTCTGCTTTCTCCTCCATGTCTGAGAATCAGCTAACAGTGTCTGGCTAATGCGCTGCCCTTATTTATCTCTCTATTTCTTGCTCCCCCTTTATTTCCCCCTGGTTTTCACTTGCTTTCTTTCTCTCTCTCCCCCTCTTATTTTTTTTCCAATGAAAGTATTTTGTTTTGTGTGATTACCCCCGCCACCTCCCAAAAAAAAACAAAAAAAAAAAAAAAAAAAGTAGTCTCAAGACGCCAATCATTCTAAGTGTTATTGAGCATCTTCTGCTAACGATGTTCTGGCGTTTGGTAGGACAGCTGGAGAAATGGCTTTTCTGACACTGAGCAAGCATTTCAGTTTGGTGGAGGAGGGGAAGAGAGAGCATGTGTTTATATCTGTATGAGTGTCTGTATGTATGCGTTAGTTACGATTTCTTTTCGTTTTTGCAGGGGGGACTTTTTTATATTTATTTTTGGTCTTGTCTTTTTTAAAAGCGAGGATGTAGGTGTACAGGGAAAATTGTCTAAGCAGTTGAGACGTAACACGATGTACTTGATTTCATCACAAACGCGCAGATAGAGCATCAAGTGCCAATCAAGCATAAATATATATATGTGGTTTATAAAAATAGGTGAATATATATAAATAAATATATACGTATAAATTACTATCTAAAGCTGTTTAATGTTATTGGGAGATGTTTTTGGGCTCTGTCGGAAAGTACTGCACGAAATACACCAACAGGAGTTTGCTAACAGGTTCAAAAAGTTGTTTTTTCATTGGACGTCTGCATCAGATATCACGAAACGAAAGGAGTTGATTAGTGTTTTGTAATACGGGGTGTGCGTATGTATGTATGTGTGAGTATGTGTGCACTGTTTATACTGTCAGGGTGTTAAAATGCAGTCCTTGCTTTCTGATATCCAGTGGAGTAGAATAAAATGCAAAAACATTTGAAGTTGTGCACATACAGACTTTATGGTTTACTTTTATGATATAGATTTTTTTTTTGTTAGTTTTTTTTTGTTTGTTTTTTTTCTGCAAAGGTTTTTCAGCTGTCAGATAGCGACACATACACTGCTATAGGATGGAATAGTGCCATCTGCATCCCTATCAACATTTTTTGTGTGTGTGTGTGTGCATTTTGCATTTATCAACTTTTGCAACATTACTATAATACAATAATAACTGATTGTTTTTCCACTCATCGTTCAAAAAAGTATGTATGGAGGATCAGCACATAGGCTACTGTCACACATATACCCCACAGTGAGATATGGTTTATTTTGTTTGTATCAGTTTTCCAACTTGACTGCAGGCAGCGTTGTAAAAAATGTGATTGAATAATATTTGTATATTAGAAACTTTGAGGAAAGGGGACTGGAGGATGGACTGCTCTGAAGTTGAAAGGATAGCATTTATTGAAAACGTAGGCTAGGTAGCTACAACATGGCAGACTAGTAAAATGCAAAGTTGAGAAGTGATCATTACAGTTTTTTAATTCAGAGTGATTAAAGCAGTAGAATCGGCTGTCGGAACTGATTCAGTTTTCCCCATAACCCCCCTTACTCAGATCACTTTCTCATGCTTTATGAGCTAACTGAAAGGGGTCAGTGAATTTATAGGTGCGTCGAAAGATGAAAACTGATGGCGTGAACAACAGTGCATAGAAATAAAGTATAACTTAATAAAAGAAAACGGCTGTATCGTAGCTTTTTTACGTTGAAACACTGGCTTCTCAGCACTCGCTTGCCGCTTTGCTGCACGATTCTCAACTTGTATTGCGTTAAACTCTGCCTCCTGTGCTGGGATTGGCTAATAGAGTAGTCTCCTCATGGCTAGTAGTCAGTACTCAGAATCTTCCTTATTTTCAATACCATTTTTAACATCAACTTACCATCACGTTACTGTACTAGCTCAATGGCAGATGTAGCCGTTTTGAAACCAGAACAATATAATACTTGAAAATACTGAAAAATTCAAAACAATCAAGCTATTTAATCTGGAATTTATGTAGTAAGCTACAAATGTGCTTACAGCTACCTGCTATACATGACTGCTGATGCAGTTTCATTACTCTTTTAGCTCGCTAAGCTATCAACACAGCTAGTAACAACAAAAAAGGAGTAATGCACACTGCAGTTTTCATTGTAAACCTGAAGTTTAAGTAACACAGCAGTTATTAAAAAAAAAGTTATTGTGCATTTCAACCTCTCCAGTTTGCTTAGCTTGCTAATTGTCTAACTGCTGCTAACCTAGCCGAGGTCAGTTTCGTTTGAAAAATCCACTGGTCGTTGGCAAGTGGTTTTGTTATGCGTTTCCGAGTGGTGAGGTGAGGTATGTGAGGGCATGTATTGACACAGAGGATTATCCTGTGTTCATGGCCAAGTGGGAACTACAGACTTTCAGACTCTGTTTTAACAGCCAACCAATCCCTAGTTACCTCTTGTTTCTCATCATTTTAGAAACTCACCAGAAATATATTCAACGCAAGTACGTGAACGCAGATGACAACGCTTGGCCAGCGCTCTTACATTTACTGTGGCAGGTGAAACACTCAGTACTCAAGAGTGCGATATGTAAGTTGGAGTTTGGAGTTTGGATTGGAGTCACTGTCATTCCAACATAACTTCTAAACATGTGAACAGTAGAAACGTGTTAGGTGCTTCAGTCTAAATGATTGAATCACAATCTGTTCAGTCAGATTGAAAAGATGAGATATATGGATTGACAGCTTGGCCAGGCTTGGCTGCCACTATAGCGCCCCTTGCTGCAATGCTCAGAATGCAGCTTGTGTTGCGTTATAAATTGCATGCCAACGCTTTTTAGAACGCAACGACACACAATAACCTGTCTGCATAGCTGGTCACATCAGTGTTCGCCTACTTTTGTGAAGTATCTTTTTGGCCTTATGCTTTTTATGCAGATTTTTAATGTTTTTTTTGCATACAATATGCTACCTGTGTATGATATTGCTAAATACGGGGAGATGCCTGGAGAATTGCAAGATCGCGTTGTTCTGAAACAAGGTTTTTAATCAAACTGCGTGCTGTCGTCATTTTCCGAGCTATATTAACAGTGAATTGCCATTGACTGTAAAAATACATGAAGTGTGTAAATATACACCATTCTGGTGTAAAAGATTTTTACTGAGCTTTTTATACACCCACAAGCAGCCAAACAAACACTAGATTGCTGTGAGCGTTCGTTTCTTCCCAACCTCACATCGCTAAAGTTTAGTGAACACTTTGAGGTGAAAAGTAGGAGGTTCTGGGTTTTCATAAACGCCGCCTCGGTGGAATCGATTAAGCGAGTATGATCTAGAAGCCAATCACAGAGCAGGAGACACTGTTACTAGCCAATCGCAGTGCAGAACTCGAGGCAGCCAATCACAGCACAGTCTGCATTCTATTTGTTGAAATATGGTTGAGGGAATTTTTTTGAAATCTTAAAATATAAACAAGAACAAATACAAAGTTAAATTTAAAAATAAGGCTTTCTCGATCTCGTGGCCTGGCGTGCATGCTGGTGTGGCAGTAGGTCGAATGCACAAGTGCAGAACGGCGCCTCTCATTCTCTCTCTTACAGTTTTCTCTCTTTTCTCTTGAAGACTACAATTTCTCTCTCTCTCTCTCTCTCTCTCTCTCTCTCTCTCTCTCTCTCTCTCTCTCTCTCTCTCTCTGCTGCACGACCGATGGCTCTTATAAACGTCTTTTCCGAATAAGACCTGTTAAGGTCTTGTGATGTGCTTTGCATGATAATGGGAGGGTGTCTTTTTTTCTTTCTCTGTTAGTATTATGATCATTTATTTTCTTTCTTTTTGTTATGCATGTAGGTCCTACTTTTGGAAAACGATCCTCTTGTTTACATATGAATCGTACAATTGATATTATAGGCTATGAATGACAGTTACATATAAATATATGGATGTTGCCAAACTTTTGGTAAATGTTTTCAATATTGAAATGATAAAAAAAGTACTCCACTACATGTATCCATAATTCTTATGATAATGAGATGAATATAATAATCTAAATCAGTGTCACATTAAGCAAGGCTTTACCTTTGCCCCCTCTTGAAGCAGCATGCTGTTGAAAAGGGGGTCTCCTTTTCTTTTTTTTCGTTTTCGTTCATGATTTGGTCGAATTGTTTTGTACAGACTTTGTTATTAATACCGTAGTACGATTAGTGCTCCTTGCTTTGGATTTTCAGTGCTTTGTATAACTTAAGTTAGGGGTGGATGGTTTGTTATATCTGCTATGATATCGGTGAGACGGTGGCGGTTTTTTGGGGGAAGAAAAGGGAGGTTTTGAAACTTTGAAAAAAAAAAAACAATGTTTCAGTCTTAGGATTTTCTGTTTTTGTTTAGGCCTATTCTTCATCTCTGCATGCTGCGTCATATGCTGTGGGAACCATTGAAATGTCACTCATGACAATGAGAAATAAAACATTTGAAACTTGTAAAACATTTGTTTGTTCATTTATGGTATGAGAATAATATATGGGCTAGGCAATATGATGACATCGTTATCAGGATAAATTGTCATTATGTCGCACTTTGCTGTCGGGGCATTGTGCAGAAGCAGAGTCAGGAGAGGCCAGAATTTCTGCTTGAAGAATGTTCTTTTATTTGAGACCAAAAATACAAAATAAAATTAAAAAAATTAAAATACAGCATCACCAACAGTGGAAGTCACCAAATAAACCCCCCTTTACATCAAATAACCCACTTCCCTGGCTCCCATAACATAACACACACCACAAATGCACACAACTCAACGAACAAACATCAAAAACAACGCCAACAGTCGGTTTTGCAGGGATGTGGGGCTACAGCTTAGACTGCGTAAGCTATGAGAGCATATGGCAGCCTAGGGTTAGGGTCAGCCGCCACGTAGCCCCCTCATTAAAGGTCAGCTGTCCCAGCGATCCACACAGCTAAAGCAAAGTCCTTCAAGTGCGCAGGAGCATGTCACCTTCGCTGCAGTCGTCCCAGGGTGTCCACTGTCAAGGTCAACACGAGCGGGGGTGGGTTGTGGGGGGTGTTGTGCCCCTCGACCCCGGGTGCTTGCAACTCCTCCTCGGGGCCCTTTTTGCCATAGTTCCACCTGGTCTGGTCTCTTGTTTACAGGGTTGTACAGGGCTAATCTGTCTCTAAGGACTACAACAGTCCGCCCCCAGCCTTATACACCACCTCACCCAGGTGCTCTTACCACACAGAGACCTTCGTAGAGTTACTGTGGCACAATACCAGTGCTGCACAGCCAGGCATGGAGGACAACAAACGCGCACTTACCTTCCATCTTAGCGAGTGCCACCTGCCAGTATCCACTCCGCAGGTCAAGCGAACTGAACCATGCAGTGCTGCTCCAAGGAATCATCAATGCATGGGAGTGGATATGAATTTGGTTTAGTTACAGTGTTGAGCCACCGGTTGTCCATGCAAAACTACCAACTTCTGTTCTTTTTCTTTGCTAGGACCAAAGGCGTCACTCAAAGGCTAGTGAACAGCTTGAGGGTGGAGCAAAATTAGAGCACTGTCGCCAGTGTTAATGCTACGCTGCACCAAATCTACAGTCTCCCTCTGTAGCTGTGAAAATGTCACTATAATGGCTCAAAAGCTCCTATAGCTGCTGTTTGTGCCCTTCAGCTAACTGTGACCTGCTCCGTTGCCATAACTCATGCACCGCTTCTACTTTAGTGTTGTACCCACTGCTGCTGCCTTTCACACCGGCATCTCACACGCTGCCCATGACCCTCTGGGATCTATTTACCAGTACTGAAGTTGCATGTTCAGCTCCTGGTTTTAGCCACGAGAAATTGTGGTTCCCTTGACCTGGCAGTGGCCCTGGGTGACTCTAGACTACGTGTTCAGCTCCTTTAGTGCCAATGGTTTTCCTCACAGGGAATGAAGGCCTCACTGTCAGCCTTAATTCCGTCGCAGGTCTCCTTACCTCCGTTTCATTCACAGTAGCCTTTGCTTTGAGATTGAGCACAGCTCCTGACGCCGCCAGAAAGTCTAAACCAAGGAACCCATTTCTCCTCCTCAGGTCGACTTTTCTGCCGGTAACAGAGCCAAGCTGGATGGTGGTAGCCTCCCAGCCGTCCGGCGTACCTCTTGTGGTATAGGGAAACACGCCTGGTAGCAACAGGAAGGTTGTTGAGCCCATGTCGATGAGCATAATGAACTTTTCGCTGTTGATGCTGCACTCTGTCCAAAGGCCGCGGCAGCGGTTGCTCTGTCCAGCGGCAGCGACACTGAGGGTTACTCTTTCAGAGGGCTGCCCAACCCTCACTGGGCAGCACCATTCTCATTTTCCACCAGCTCACGGCACTTGCGACTGTGATATCTGTTGTTGCCACACCACCAACACACTATCCATGCTGCCGTCATTCACTCACAGAGATCATTTCACATGCTGCCTCCCCCAACCCCCACCCTCCAGACTCTTCCACCGCGTAGCAATGTGTTACTCGCTTCGAAGCCCCGTCATTGAAGATGGGCTCCATCACAATGGCTTCTGCAACAGCAGCTTGGAGGCCAGTCAGTTTGGGAAGCTATACATGTCTCCTCAGCTCCTCTGGCAGCAGCGCGTTAAAGAAACTCCAAAGGCAACTCCTCCTGCACTGCTCTTGGTCTTCTTCGTCTATGTCCAGCAGCAGTTTCTTCCCAAACCGCCGCTGGAGAGCCCCGGTCAGCGCAGTGAGGTCGCCATGTTGCTCCATAGGCAAGTCCACAAGCATCTTCTTGTCACCTTCAGGGTCAAAGCACACTTGAATTGCGGGCCTGCGGCACACACCTCACAGTGTGCCCCTCAAGTCCCTCTCTCTGAACAGTGCGTATGTCAGTTGCCACACTATTCTGAGCATATTGTGGGTATTGTCAGTTATTAAGGAACGCTAACTGCCTGTTTCATTACAAAGAGAGCATAATTAGTCCTTTAGGTGGATTTACTACAGTGCAATGTGTATAATGTTGAATAAAACTAACATACCTAAAGTTTTATGGTGTTTTTTAACACAAATGTTTCGCCCTTTCCAACCTGTCAAACCTCAGGAAAAAACCTAAATATTGTGATTCATAGTTTTGATCGAAAACCGAAGAATCGTGCTGTATTTTGCCATATCACCCCTAATACATTTATTTGTGAAGTAGTAGTTGTAGGCGATGCAGTGCCATAAATCCACCACCAAGTGGCAGCAAAATATAACTTGACAGTTTTGTGCCTTACCAGTTCGAGTCTTTTGTATTTTAAGATGGTCTTTTTGTGTAACAGACTGACTTCAAGGCAACATGCACTCAAAATAAACACACACACAAAATAAAACAACACGTGTTATTATAGTATCACTCCAAGCCCATTAACTCTTTAAGGAAGGCAACGTTTGCAGCTTTGGCTCTTGAGGTTTAAAGTTTATCAAGAGTTTCAAAATCCAAAAAGCCATACAGTCCATTTATGGAAGCTAAGCTACAAAACAGCCAGTTTCGAATCAATTATTTAGTGATGTCACAAAAAACGAATACATTTTACATATTAACCGCCTGTTTACAGGGAAGTTATGAAGAGTGTTTCCATTCACACTGCTTTTTGACTGAATCAGACAGGGCAGACAGTCATCTTCCAAACTCTGTAACCCTTACAATTAAACAGGCTGTTGTATGATGTATGTATGTATGTATGTATCTATGTGTGTGTGCACATTTATATTGTACAGTAACAAAAACAGCCTGTTTAATATGAAAGACAGATATAGGTACAAGGTAAAGAGAGGAAAATTCATACTGGTTTGGTGCATAAAATGACAAATGTCATAAGTCAATCTGAAAAACGGAATCTGAAAGTCAGTCAGTCTGAAAGTGAAGCCACATGGCTCGGTATACTTACCAAGCAAACCTGCACTAAAGGTTAAAAAAAACCCGGAGAACCTTTCTTTCACCAAGAATCTGAAACGGCTGTTTTCATAAAGATATTGCGGAAATCAAATTAAAAGCTAAAAATCCTGATCTGTTGTCGTGGTATTTGATAAAGTGCTGTAAAATGCTGCATGGGGCCTCCAAAGAGGCCTGAGAATCCCCATTGCTTTAGACCTACAGTACTGAGGCCTCTTCGATTACTCACATCATTAGTCAGTGTTTCCGGACTCCTCCTAATTGTACTCCTGCAGACTGTGAGCTTTTTTGGAACCGTCACTGACAATTAAACAACTCATTAGTTTCCTGCTCTTGGAGCTTTGGATCACTTTGTCTTTTTTCGCCTCCTTCTAGCACCAGCCCCCCCTGTAGTTAAGCCTAATCTAAGTTTTTTCCTTATCTGCTTTAGTCTTTTACTAGAACGTCCATTTCCAGACAACTAACTAATTACACTGTTATAATTCCTAAAATGGCCAAGATTTTAACCCAAAATCCGTTACATGAAGCAGATAATAAGTCATTGTAAACAGTGCTGCTTTAGAAATGGTTCTGAGTGTTGAATGCAGCAATATAAAGTGCCATTTTGTTTGCCAGTGCTTAAAAAATGTGTAGCGTTTTCCATTAATGTGTGTTTCAATTACATCGCTTGTCCTTGGTGTTAATTTCCCCCACATTCAGATTGAGTTTTAGCACATAGTTTTGAATAACAGCCATGAGGGAAAATAACATATAGTTCTAACTGTTATGCTGTTTTAAACAGATTAAACAATTTTCCTCTTTACCACAAACGTACTTTATCAGCTGAGACATATTAGGTGCCTAAATTCGCTTTAGCAACAAGGCTAATGCAGCTAACAAGTAATAGATGCTTAAACCACACCAGCTGTGAAAACTTTGAGGCCTAAATAAAGCTCAAGTAATCTCAAGAAAGACTTGCTTATGTAGTTTCTGATACTGCATGACTTACTATTATCTATAAAAATGAATAAATGTACATCAGCCCAGCTAAAACAGCAGCTGAAGCCCTAATTTTGCCCACACTTTCCTTCATTTTCATAGACAGCAGTAAGTCACACTATTTGAAATGCCCATGGGGCTTGAGGCACACTGTTAAGTCAATGCTACTTGGTTGGATATAAGCTTCCGTTGCTTATATTCCATTGAATATTAGCCTCATAGCTCCAGCGTAAAGAAGTGGAGGTTCGGCTCACCTCAGAGCTACCTTAAGTTAAACTCAACCTTAGCTCAGGAATTCAGCTTTCTGCTGTTGCCCCAGGGGGTTATCACTTCGGTTGGTAGAGGTAAACGTAACCCAGTGGGTACGGTATCACAGGTTAACATTTTCCAACACAGTGTTTGTTTTTCTCCTGGTTAGGTGCAGAAAGTGTCTGCAGAACAGACGTTAAGTTGTATGTTGGCTTATCAGACGCGTGTCAGTAAGAGTGCAGGTCCAGGGTCGTTTTTGTCTTTCATATCGTAACGAACACAGTTACACGGACAGCGTGGAGCTGATAATGTGGATCGGCTCTCGGAGATGTGATACCTGTCCTATCA